ACAACCCACGAATATGTCTTTACTGCTCTCTGTCTCACCGTTAGCCATCTCGACGGTAAACGTTTCGGTTAAGGGTTGTGGTTTATGTTTGAGGAGATGCTTGAATGCATGACTAATAAAACTTCTCTCTGCACCAGAATCGAAAAGAATGCATGCATAAGAGTTGTCGAGGAGGAACGTACCCGTAATAACGGTAGGGTCAGCAACTTCCTCCTCTTACCCCCATTGCTAGAAATCTCCTGGTGTTGTCAGTTGTTGTTGCCTTGGGGTAGTTTCTTTTATAATGCTCGACCTCCCCACAACCATAATTGGCTTGACCGACACTTGCTCTGGGTGCCTGATTGGTTGGTTGGGCAGGTGTTCTATAGAAACGAGTTGTGTGTCCCTTCTTGCCATAGCTGTTGCAGAGCATCTCGCGACACTGTCCATGATGATGAAAGTTACACTTGTCGCACTTTGGTAGATTTCTAGCATATCTACTGGTAGGTTCTTGAGTTGCATGGATAGCGGTAGGAGTAGTAGCAGTGTGAACTGCCACCATATGTTGTTTCTTGGAAGGCTCCTGCGAAGACTGGCCCTTTTGCTGCTTCCAGAACTTACTTTTCTCGCCACTCCCTTTTACTGGTTCGGGAGTGGCTGTTACTTTATCCAAATCAACCCCGTGATCTATGAGAGTCTGCGTCAGGAACTTGGCGCTGTCAAAAGTGATTGGCCTGGCAGCCATGACATTTCCTTGAGTTAGGGGCGTCAATCCCCAAATGTATCTCTCTATCTTCTTGCTTTCCGGGGTGACCATTCCCGGGCAAAGAAGTGCTAGGTCTTCAAACCTAGAAGTGTAGGAAGCAATGTTGGAACCCTTCATCTTCAAGTTCCTGAGTTCGTGTTCCAGTTTCTGCATCTCGCCCCGTGGGAAGTACTCAGCGAGCATGAGCTCCTTCAAGCTCTCCTAACCCATAGCATTTTCTACCGGCACGGTTAGAGATTTGACCCAACTATTCCACTAGGTCAACGCTCTGTTGGTGAAAGTGGAAGCAGCGAATTTCACCTTGTTGGCTTTAGAACAAGAGCAAATCTCGAAGATAGACTCGATCTTCTTGAACCATCGAGTCAGGGCAATAACACCTCCGTTGCCATCGAAGGACATGGGTTTTGCATCCATGAAATCTTTCAGAGAGCACTCCTTTTGATTCCCTTGACTACCTTCATGATTTTGGGAATGAATAAGACCCCCAGAACCACCAGAACCACCAGGATTTATTTGCGACAAGGTGGCAGTCACAACGGCAGTAACAGCTGACTGGAACATAGCGGGATCAAAATGAGGAGGTGGTGGTGGTGTTGGATCCATCGAGGAATTGTTGTTCTTCTTGTTGGATCTTTTCATTGGAGCCATCTTGTTCTATATCAGGAAGAAGAAGATAATAAGCCCCTTTAACTTTAGAATCAAGAGATATGAAACAATGTATATCTCTATATGATAGATAAAGTGTTTTACTAAGCAATATACATGAAAGGGTTACTAATGCAAGTAAACTATCGCTAAGAAAGAATGAGTAGCAACACTTGGAATGAATTTCTACAACGTATTCGACTCTGACTAAAATACTCCTATAGTATTTTTTTTGTTGAATGCTTTGTTCTATCGATATCTTGTGGTAGGAATACTTGGTAAGTTTTAGGCTTGCTGCAACACCACAGTCACTCCCAAGCACATGTTGGTCATGTCTTGAATCAATATAGTTGATCATGCTATATTAACCCTAGACATGATTACATAACTACCCAGGTTTAACCGCAGTATTCAACATCCAAATACTTTTGTTTTGTTCTACTAATGATATTGTTTCTGGTATGTAGGTATACTTGTATACTTTTTGTAAAAATACTTATATTTTTAAAAATATACTTTAGTTCAGAGCACTTCGGCCCCTCGGTGTTTATAGTTTTATACCATGTAAGGTTCGGTACACTTAGTTCACTATAAACAATAGCTATGATACCAATTTGTCACACCCCCGAACCGTCAAAAGTAACGGCGGAAACGTCCGGGGGCGGGCGAGTCATATGTAATATCACAACAATCGTATCATAGCAATCAAAGTAAACACAACCGTTACATTAAAATAAGAGTATTTACATCTTTTTGAAAACATAGTTTGTGTACATCAAAAGTAACAAAAGATAAAGACGAGACTCCAAAACGCTTCGTCTTCTCCAAAAGCGGGCGAGGTACCTGTCTATCGTTGTCCTTAGAATACAAGCGGTTTTGAAAATGTATCAGCATAAAGCTGGTGAGTTCATAAGCATGTTTTTGTAATGAAAACTAGTCACTGAATTTGTACAAATGGTTTCTTTTCATTATAAGTAAAATGTCATTTGTATCGGAAACCATTATATGGATGCATGCTTTCCAAGAAAATCCAATATTTTCTAACATGTTTGTTGGTTACTATATGAAAAGTATGTTCCGTTTGAAACCATGGCTACCACCAACATATAGTGTATGTTCTGTTCAAAACCCTGGCTACACTAGTATGTAGTGTCTGATATGTTTGAAAACCCTGGCTACCACCAATATGTATAGTAGTTTTATTTCTTAAAATAAAACGAAAGGTTGTGTCCCTGGAATACCCTCTAGTAAGTAGATAGGTAGTTTCATTAATTGAAATAAAACTATTGAAGAAAGAAATCCCGTAAACAAATGTTAGTTTATACTTATTGTGACTCGTATAACCATGCTGATATGACTGATGAGCTCCTTGATGTTTCTTCAGGCGTCATACGGTTACAAAATTTGTCACCCCAGGCATGCCCGCATAACTGTAGCTAACAGTTCAGGTGTGGGATTGTCGGTCCCGAATAAATCTATTCACAAATTTCACGCTCTCCATCCTACAGACTCTGGTTATACTAAAGGTGAGGATTTACTGGTATCCTGAAGGGCATAATGAAGATAGGTCTTACAATCCTATATTAACTAGTTTACGTGTTGTTCTGTTGTTCTCGAGTTCGAAATCGTTTGTATATGGCGTAGAGTATAAATAATTATACACAAAATAATTATTTAGTAAGATACTCTCGTTATCTGAATGTAGTAATGGATAAACTAAATATGTCATAGTTTATGTGTTGACTTTGTACGTAGATTGAATTTGTAAAACCGGTAATAAATTGTCCAAACTATACCTATTATAGTTTGAGTAGTAAGTTGTGTTCGTATACTGATCTGAAAAACTATGCAGTTATGTTTAGAAAACGTCCCTTATGCTCCGCATATTACAAAAAGGGTTAAGGTATCTAAATGTTTGACATAAAATCATTGCAATTGCATCAGTTTTTAACTTGTGAAAACGGTTATGTTTGGCTTGTATTCCCCCTGAAAACGTTTTAAAAAAATCTATAAAAGCGTAGGGGTATGAACTCATAGTTGGTTGGTCGTAAGGGATTGAACCGGAAGATCCTTGAGTCGATGCGTGTGTCACTTAACGGAATCCTAATATCAAATAAATACATATATGTATCTAAATTAGCGATTTCGTTAGATAAAGTGTTAGATAAACACTTGGTTTTGGTTGAGGAATGTTACCGAGACTTGGTTGAATTGAGAAAACAGGCTTTTCCTCACGAAAGAGTTGTTTATGGTCGAGAGGAGAGTTTACGGTCGATAGGCAGTTTACGACCGTGAACGGGTTTATGGTTGTAAACTGAGTTTATGGTCCTTGAAGATTTGACCGTGAACGGGTTTACGGTCTATGAAGATTGATCGTTTACGGCCTATGAAGATTGACCTTAAACTCAAGAACAGTGATGCTGGTTTCAATGAAAACGTGTTTTAGATGCTCCTACACTACCTCCAGAAGTGTTTCCTGATCGTTTTCCAAGAGAAATAAGGGTGTTTCGGTGTTTACGGTCAAAGGTTCTAGAGAGAGAATGAGAGAGTTTACGATCCAAAGTGTTCAAATGAGGGTGGGTGTCTCATATTTATAGGGGATTTTGTGGTCGGTGAGTGGGGTCCACCTAACTCTGACCGTAAACTCATCCTGGACCGTGAACTCGGTGTTTTTTGAGAAAATACAAGTTTTTCGCGTGATTTCCGGTTTATTCCGACTCGTATAAAATACATATTATCTATTTAAAACGTAAAGTCTTTACCAAATTAAGAAATTTGATGGAATTTAATAAAAACCCAAATTTTATTAACGGAAACTGGGTAAGGATAACGGAAAAAGTTTCGGGTTGTCACAAACCTGCAAACAAAAACAAATTTAATATTCATTAATTTAGTTCCTATATAAAATAAATAATTAATAAACTTAACTAACCATATCCACATCCTTCCATTTAGAATGGCCTCCGACACCATTTTCTTTATTCCTAAGAAAATATGTTTTTCAGTTTTGCAAATAAAGTTCTTGAGGGAATATCGTCCACCTTGCGCTCGCCGACCGTTTTTCCATGAGCAATGCATTCCATATGGCAATATGTTGTACATTTTACGATAAAAATGTTCCAGTTTTTTATATAAATTATCGTCTAAAATGTAGTTAAAAATTATATTTAATGAATGTTACCGAAGAAAATAACCACCCAACGTCAGTAACCGCAAGTAACCTCGACCAAAACTCCACATCCAGTGTGAGCACATGCAGCATATGTTTAGTGTTTAGGTTGGAAGAGATCCTATTCCATTCTTTCAAAAAACTCAACGTATTGGCAACTTCAACATTGTCGAGCAGGAGATGATTTGAAACATTATTACTCTTCATTCACAATGTCTTCATTTGCTTTTTCAGGACTCTTCACCACTTTTTTTTCTTTGCTTTGGTGATTTTCTTCAATTTTGGCGTGGATTGCAACTAAAAAATTAACATGTTAAATAATTATCAATACGTTAATATTTAAAAATATACCAAATTGAAAATATGATTTTTGTACCACTGTGAACGGAGTCCGCTGATACCATGGAACACCCCTCTTTCATTGCGGCCTAACAATAGGAGTCATTTCTTTTGTGTGATGTTCACCCACATCCGATGAAGGCTCAACATGCGTAGGTAGAGGCCCAAATTCCCCCTCCAAACCTTGAGTACCTATATCATCATAGTCAAAAAGTGTATCATGGTAATATTTTTCTTCCTCCTCTTCATTTATCATCTCTTCCTACTCATCTACCTCTTCCTCCTCTCGAAACCCTCTGTTTGGTTCAACATTTGTGTATGGTTCATCTTTTTTTTGTAATACACGGTCTACTTTAGAACTTAAGTCACCCACAACACCTAGTAGACGCTTCACTAATGCCTTTGTGGTCGTCTTTTTCTTCTTTACCAATCTTGATGTGTCGTTTGACATATAACTTGTTTCTATTTCAAGATGTTGCGAGGAAGAAGCATTTGTGGCAGATTCAGTCGAACATGTTTCTATTTCAGACTTGTACATCCTTCTTCAAGCAGGCGAGGCAACATGAGGTGGACTATTTCGGACAGGACTATGTTGCCGTGGGGGAGTCTCTACAGGGTTAAGAGTCCAATTGACATAACGAACATAACACGGCACCATCAGCTCCTCCGGGGTTGCCATGACATTAATAGGTTAGTTGTTAGGCTGCAAAAATCAGATTCTTAGTTTAACATGAAAATACATTGGAATTTGTAAATATAGATGATTGTTAATATAAAAACCATACCACAGACACGTTCATTATTAGATAACATTGAACCCAAGATAACGGTGTTTTACTTCTCCACACCCTCATCTGTGGCAATTCTATCGGCGTGCGTATATAAAACTTGGTTGCCTCTGGGAACGTCTCCAAAATCCATATCTATGAAAAAAAATGTAAGTATCATTCTATTATACTATAAAAGTCATGATACAAACTTATTATAGAATACAAAACGAAGTTCAATTTTTTATAGTATAAAACAATGATAACTATTTAAATGCATAAGAAAGTAACCTTAAACGGAAGCATAAAATCGGGAATGGTATACTTGTGTACTTTCTTCGATTCGAGATTGGCCTGCTTCAATACTCTAAGATCTTCTATTTTCTTAAACATTCCATGCATCATACGCGAAGTATATTTCCAGAAATATGTACCCCATGCAAACCTGCAATTTTCAATTTATTTATTATAATTAGTGCATTGCATACTATTGCGAGAATGCCTGTTTTAAATGTAATACATGTTCCAATCATCTATATTATCAGCAAGCTTGTATACTACTGCAGGAATGCCCGTTTTAATGTCCCGTCCATGTAGACCCATTCAACATAAAAACAAGTTGGATAAGCATCACAACATCTTCATCTTGTAGTGCCAAATAATTCGGGGACGCAATCAAGTCTTCTAAATCTTTCAGCCGCTAACGTGCATCAGAAATATCTGGGAACAACCGAGCACGGAGATTTGAATTTGACTGTCCCTTTTCGTCATGGAGTAAATCCACATAAGGACAAATTTTTAAACCACAAATGAGAATATATTCAGTTTCACCAAAATCCAACTGGATCCCCTCTGTATCAAACAAAAACCTCTCCATTTCAAATATTTTTTGACTCCTTAATTCGTGCAACATCATCATATGCACAAGTAAGGGATCACCATGTGGGATATGCATTCCTAAAAATATTCCAAAGGGGGAAATACTCGTTTTGATTGTGTTAGACACGGAAAATAGTCTTCGATGATAGTCCCTACCACGCCTTTCAAAGTTAAATCCGCTTTTTGATTGAGATCTTCGTGCTACACAACAAAAAAAATCTTATTTCATTTAAAACATTACTAATTGAAAATAAAAAAATAAAAAAAAAACTTCCAAAATTACTTTTCTAATTCGGTTTATGAAATAAATAGCAACATACTTTTTATATATAACTAAATACACAAAAGAAAAGGGCAGCAAAAGCAGAAAAAAATTGTGCAAAAACCATTTTTAATGTGATTCTGCGGAGGCTAGAGGTCATTCCACGAAGACCACTCTGCGGAGTGACCTCTAACCTCCGCAGAGACCTGCGTTTCTTCATTTATAACATTCTGCAGAGGTAGCACATGACTGACGTCTCCCTCTGCGGAATGGATCATCCCAAATATTGTTCCTGCGATTTGTAAACCTAAAAATTCTAAAATTGTATACATATTCAATTTAAGAAAATGGGTTTTCCTCTAATTTGAATCATATTCGATATTTTCTACATTAATAATTAGATGGGAATGTGAGAAATACCCGGGAACCGTATCCATCGGCCATAACATCGAGGAAGTCGCGGTCCATCGGTGACAGATTTCAAGTGCTTTATACTCGATTTTACCGGAGTTTAAGTCGTTTGACGGCGTATTCCACCAGAGATGAAGTCATACGAGGCGATGCGAAGTGACGAACACAAACGGGGACCGGTGGGTACCAAAAGAGGACCCCTTCGTTTTTCTCAAAAAAAAGGGTTGAAATTATGAAATTACCCCCTCTACGCGGGGATTTCATGGTTCCGCGGAGGTCCACGGAGGGTCCTCCGTGGAATGTATATCTATAGCCGGAAAAATCGAATTTTATGACTAAATTTAGAAATTGACCCCCATTTTTTTGTCTATTTGCGGTATTTTCCCTAAAATATATACACCTTTTTTTTTGTCTTTTTTGAAAACCATTTATTAAAATGGTAACCAAAATGTGGGGTAACTTTGGGCTTAAAAATGTGGTTTAACTGGTTTTGGGATGTATAAAAATCACAGATGAGTTTACAAGTAAATGTTGTGTGCATAAAAATCAAGTAAAAAGATTTTTTTGGTAATATACACTTAAAATGAGGTAAAAAATCGTCAAATACTTTTCCTCCTCATTTTGTTGAATAAATCATCTAAATAAATTGAAATAAGATAAAACCCACAAACACTTCTTTTCTACTCAACTTTCTTAGCAAGTCATTAAAAAGAATGACAAAACTGAGCTGAGATGAAAATGAGTATTCTGAAAGTTTAAGGGGGTAAAAAATTCATAGAAACTTATTTTTTTTCCTTCAAGCTTCTAAATCTTGATTAAACTTATATATAGAAAATCATGAACTAAATGGGATTTTTTGAAAATATATAAGCTTAAAGTGGGATAAAACCCACAAAGAACTCTCTCTCTCTCTCTCTCTCTCTCTCTCTCTCTCTCTCTCTCTCTCTCTCTCTCTCTCTCTCTGAAGAGTTTTGTAAAATGTACAAGTTACACAACTATGTGTGCAAGTAAATGTTTTAGAGATTGAAGTTCTATACAGAAAATTGAAACAAAAATCATTTTTCTATAACATATAAATTAAAAATTAAGTAAAAACTTCTCTACTTCTCAGATTTGTTGAACAAACCCCATATTATAAGTAAAAAACAGACCTGATGTGGAGTGTTGCACATCAAACTTCATTTTCTTTTCAGCTTACGCAACAAGCTATCAAGATATGGGCAAACAACAGATCTGGATTTTTTTTCCTCTAAACTTGTAAAGAAAAAACACCAAAAATATGAACAAAAACTGGTGTAAAAACTCGATTTTTTCTCCTGGTTTTATGAACTGAAAAATATGAGTAAGAACTCATAAAACTTTTTTTTTTCTGAAAAAAACCCCCAAAATATAAACAAAAACGAATTTAAGAAGATCTTTTCAAACTTGAAGAATGTTTGAGTGAAGAAAATTGTGTAGATCCCTAAACCTGAACTAAAAACGAAAACGAATCTATAAATCTGAAAGATTGTGAAGCAACTTTGGACAGATCTTGGAAAGAAACAAAAAGATCTGAACAAATGGTGGGTTGAGATGCACAAATCTAAGCAAACCTGACATGAAATGCAACAGATCTGAGAGAAAAACGAGCTTGAAACCAACTGAGGCTTTTGCTACTTGCTTGGGTCCGGAATGGCGCGAAATGATGCGACATCAACTCCGACCACCTGCTATGAGGATGTGCTTCTACGCTGGAGACAGATATGTGAGGTCACAACAAAAAAGACCGTTAGAGCTGCCCAGGGACTATGCCCCAGGAGCAGACTCCAGCGATCAATTTAGATCAGCTGGTTGATCTAAGATGGTTCTCCTTAGCTGGCGAGAACCATCTTGGTGTTGGTGGTGGCGGCTGACGGCGGCGGGTAATATAGTGTGGAAGCTGAGTTATGAGGGAAGTCTAGTAGTGGCTGAGTCACTTGGGGAAGAGTCCAAGGGAAAGGTCCCCCTTCATGGAGGAGGCACTATTCTATTTATAGGGGACAACTAGGTCAGGCCTTGGGCCAGCCTAATTCACACCCAGCTAGCAAGGAGCTGGGCAAGGCCGCCCGGATACACCAGACAGGGCTGGCGGGCGCGCCCTAGGCAAGGTTGGCGAGCATGTATCAGGGAAGGCCGACAAGGGAGCGCCAAGCCAGGATGGAAGGAGATTCCCCAGCAAGGCTGGCAAGGGAGTCCTAAGCAAGGTTGGTAAGGGAATCCCATGCAGCGATGACAGGAGCGCGCCAGGCTAGGCTGGCGCGCTAGAGTAGTCTAGTTCATGCTAATGGACCATATATCACAACTAGCATATGTATCAGTCAAACCGGTCTAACAGATCACTAATCATAGCAACATCCTATAACAAGGATACCGACCTAACCGATCACTAACATAGCATCATCTTATATATTAGTATACCAACCTACCAGGTCACTAAGCATATCACCATCCTAATAACCAGGATGCAAATCAATAAGCATATCATCCAATAAACTCGGATACAAATCCAAAAAGGGTCGTCATTGGTGCCTTTAACCCTATAAGTATAGTGAGGACAACTCACCTTACAAGTAGCTCGAGATGATAAAAGTCAACCTCCCTAAATATATCTCTAAATTCAATCACCTACATCCACCAATAATCTACTTTCATAAATTTCCAAATTACTAAAATACCTCCAGAAGTCAAACTAGTCAACCCTTGGTCAAAGTCAAAGTCCACAGTCAAGGTCAACAGTCCATGTTGACCCAACTCGTCGAGTGTAGCCCATTGACTCGTCGAGTCCTTCCAGAACTTGAGAAATCGTGAAAACCCTAGTTAACTCGCTGAGTTCTTAGACAAATCGCTGAGTCCATGCGGCGTACAAATGTCCGGAAAACCCTAACTAACTCGTCGAGTCGTCTTACTGACTCGTAAAGTCCATGCAAAAACCAACAATGGCTAATCTTCATCTGAATCGTCGAGTTGACCATGCAACTCATCGAGTACCTTCAATCCATTTCTCATTTAGACGTTTTTAAGCTACCCCAAAGCTCTAAATTGTAGATCTAGCCTCCTAGGGCATGGTTTCCACATAAAGGTTCAAACTTTACGTGCATACAAGGTCTTAAATGCCAAAACCAAGCTAAGGGAGAGGTTCAAACCAAAGAGAAGGGCCAAAGCTGTCACAACTAGAAATTTTTGTGCCTTGTAACTACAACACTTAAGTCAAATTGTGAATCAAAGACATAAGAGCATGTATGATGCATACTCTATGACAACAAAATTACAAACAAACACCCCATGCAAACATTTCAAGCAGTCAACAAGCAATTGGAAACCCTAGGAGTTCTTGTTTAAGTCCATTTTGGACTAGGACTTCCTTATTGGGCCCAATGGACCAATAATCTTCCAATTTGACTATCTTGGGTTTAGAAGTCTTAAATGGGCTCTAATTGGACCCACTTCCATGTATTTCAATATTTTGGGCCATATTGGGCCTAAAATGAAATGAAATAATTACATGAACCATTTTGGGGCATAATTTACCTAATTTAGCCCTAATAGGTCATAAAAACTACACTTTGATTTATTTGAGTCAAGCATCATCTAGCTTAACTATAATATGGGCTTAAGGGCAAAAAGCCCAAAAATCTCCTATTTCCCTCCCATTCTCGGCCCAAGCCCAAGGGAAGGAAGAGTTGACTTTGTGTGTGCCACCTCACAATTATTCAAGGTACTTCCATGCAAGAGGACTCATACTTCCATGCACCATCCTTTCACACTTCTTTCTTCCCTCCTTTCTTCTTGATTCTCGGTCGAACCCAAAACACACACACACACACACACACTTCACTCAACTCTCTCAAAAGAAACTCTCTCCACTCCTCTCCAAGTGTTCGAAAATTAGGAATCTTCAAGGAGATTTTTCCCAGAAACACATCATCTAAGCACCTTAGAAGCATCCAAGTTCGAAATCTTCTAAGGAAGGTAGCTAAGGCCGAATTTCTTCTCATTTTTCCTTCCAAAACCGAAACCACACCCAAGGTGAGCT